GTGTAGCAGATGGCACGCCAGTAGAAATTGAGCGCAGGGAGGTCCCATTTACAGATGTCCCCTGTGGGGATGCGTAGGGGCTGGATGGTCTGGCGTGTGTCCGGTTTCCAGGCTTGGGCCTCGGGCCAATCTCTTCGGCCATATACTGCGCCCAGCCATGGGGCCGTTGCGCCCGTGATCGGCCTGTCGTGGTCGTCTCGAAGCTCCCAGTAGTCTGGGATAATGAGGTGCGCATAGTTCGTAAGGTGGAGGAGCTGGTGTGCTAGGGTGGCGAGGGAGTCCGCCTCGGCGAGGAGTGTGCGTTTGGTTCGGAGGATTGGGTCGGGCGTGTCCGCGGGGTCCTGGTGAGAGCGGATCCAGTCGCCGGTGAAGATTCCAGTATCGGTGAAGAGGGCCATGAGCGAGCGAAGTTCCACCCTGTATATTGCTGTAGCGGGGGAGCCCACCGCGGCGTTTGAGGGATCTGGCTAGGACGACCAGTCCAATGGCTTTTGTGTTGTCGCATATTTGTAGTGCAGCATCTCCAGAATGATGGAGGCCCACCAGGAGGCTATGTAGTTTGCAACGCGTGGGTGTCATGTGATTAGCGTGAACTTGTAAGGTCCCCGCGAGGGTGGTTCCGTCGCGGCCCATGTAGCTCCATGTACCATGTGTGGCTGGGGTACCCTGGTGCGTGACACTGTCATCACCCACAGCATAAGTGCTCGCAGCCCGTAGGGGGAGGGTAACCACAGTCTACATACAGTATATATGGAAATGCACAAAAATGGAAAACGATACTAAGTATGTACGGATATCCTGGTCGTCGTACTGTAGTTGATGCGACGTCGTAATCCAAGATGCACGTCTGAAACGGCAACAGCGTCGACTGGTAGTGGCCCAAGAACGAGTCCACGGACTCCGATAGCCGAGTCATGTGTCGCGCAATCACGCAATCAATCAATACCCGTTGTCGTCGAAGGTAAAGTTGAAGTCGTGTAGAAGGTACTCGAACGAGTCCCGAGGCGGGAAGCCGTACTGATGGAAGATGGCGTCGGTGTTGTGGAACATGTGCTCTGTGATCCACTCCTTGCCGAGTTTTCGGGTGGCCGGGTCGTTCAGCAGCGACGCGTGCCTCCACAAGGTGCGATTGTGGTCTAGGGAAGGCTACAAATGGCATATGCATATGTATACGGTGGTTGAGGTCGTACATACCTTGATGTGATACGTGTCGGTCCAGTGATACATCTCGCGAACCAGCGCTTCATGCTCGACGAGTTGGGCCTTTAGCGCTTGGTTCTGAGACTCGGACAGCATACGAAGGTCTGCCAGAGACCTCGCCACTTCATGCCACGCCAGAAGCAGCAGACTCCGGGCTAGCCGTGTGGGGATGGACTTGTGTAGGACAGACCGGATGTGTTCCAACTGGCGGATGGTGCCTTCTAGACCCGACATCTCCTTTTGCTCTCGGTACGCTATCATACAGCGGGACTGTTGTCATCTCGCGGCCGAGCCTGCGACGACGTGGATGTCATCGGGCGTTCTTTGATCTAGACTCTGAAGTGATCTGCAACACTATCAAATCGTCGACAGCCAAGCTTCTTGACCTCGACCGAACACTCCGCGAGGCCGAAGGAGTGGAGGCAGATGGATATGATGAAGATAGGAACAGCGAAACGTCTACCAACGATGACACTTCGTCATCAAGCGAATATAGTGGGAGTGATAATTAGCTCAATGTCAATTACCTCGCGTAATTCATTTCTTTACAATGTTATATTTTTTCGATATTGTATTTCGGCAGGTGCAGGATGATTGAGCATTATAATTTATACTCTGTAAAATGATTATTAATTTTCATAAGTTGTCCTGATCCCCTCAATGCCCTTGCGGACTGTTAACGTCGGAAAGAGAAAATGGAATCCAGATTGCGGTGGACCAATCGGATGATGGTGTTAAGTATTCATTCGAGTATTCATTCGATTTGATTGGCGCAGAGGATATACAATCTGAACGAGACGTCCGATTTTTAGCTTTTAATCCACATTACAGTAGACCTCTTACTCATAGATGAGATGTATGGCAGTCTACAAATCAGCTGATAAGCTTCTCCACATACTGGTAAAGCAGTTCTACTTTGCCCGAAAACGTAGTCTTCGACGAGAAGCATGGGACTTTTACGTGGGCATCAACCTTTTTCCGAAAGACAATTGATGTTGTTGAAGGGTATTTGACCTTAAATAAGCCTGAATACACCTAATTCATGTGCTTTTTAAGGCAATTGTGTTCTTTTTATAACATCTATACCTGCCATCTTCCGATATTTATCCAGCACTATTTGTTATAAAATTCCTAAACCAAGCACATTGTCCTAAATGGTCTAAATTCCGAATTACATGATAAAACTACTGTTTCCATCTTCATTGTCAGAGCCAAGTTCGGTGTCGCTTCCAGGCAAATCACGAGGAAAAGTATTCTCCGAAGCTAAAACCATACTCAACCTCACCTTTCTCTTTGACCTGTACGCCTTCCCAGCGGCTCTCTTCGTCTTGATGATCTTTGCGCCGATTTCGTTGAGTCGATTGATGTACTGGGCATTGGCATCACCATCTTCTGCACGCAAGGGATGGAGACGGACATCGACGTTGGTCAGGGCCAAACACGCTTGGAACACGATGTCGTAGCTCTTGCGGCTCCAATGGTACGTATCGCGCTACATGTGGCCCAGAGTGTCTTCAACCGACCAAGTAGTTCTCAACGATGACGTGATCGCTGGCAATATGTACGGTCATACACTATTTCGGGTCAAAACAAATGTGGAACTATTTACAATGACATGAATTGGTTTGTCAACCAGGAGTCCATCAGTTCCTGATACTCTTGTGTGTATATGTGCGTCTATATATGGGT